CGGACGAATAAAAAAAGAAATGAGAGGTTTTTAAGCACGGAGAGAGTATTAAATTTCACCCATACTAATCATAATCTACCATTTCATTTTCATTCATCCTCAAATAAAATTAAGATTTTACCCCAAATAAGAATAAAACATAGTATTTGTTCTCAAAATATGAATTTCATGTTTTTTTTCAAAATAAGAGTTTGCATTATGACATTATAACAGTATATAGTGGCATACCACTTTATTTTTTGTACTATATAATGACATTATTGGCATTGTACGCCTAATTAGAAAATAAAAAATATGAAAATTATATTTTGGAATTTTCTCTATTTTTACTCCTAATTTGGTCCTTTTCTCAATAAAAAAATTTACATTTCTTCAATTTGTTTAGAAAATAAATACGCGACACGATATATATCTCTCTCTTCTATACAAATCGCATCAGTTTTTTATGGACTTTCTTAAATTTCGTGAAATCAATCAACAAAAACATGATTATATATGGTGCATGCAGGCACGATTTGATGCTCGAGCAACGAAATACATAATGGCAACATTCTTCTCCCTCACGACCCCAATCGGAATTGCAATAGGATTTGGGATCTCAAATATCTACCACGAAAGCAGTCCGACAGCCCTAATCGTGGAGGGCATTTTGAACTCGGCATCGGCGGGGATTTTGATATACATGGCCCTCGTTGACCTCATCGCTGCAGATTTCATGAGTGCTAGAATGCAACACAATTTGCGTCTTCAAATGGGAGCTAACGTCTCTCTCTTACTAGGAGCTGCCCTAATGTCACTCCTCGCCATCTGGGCGTAATTAATAATTATTCGCAAAAATGATAATTGTATGTTAATTTACGTACTAAAAATTATCTGTAAACTATGTGTGTTCTTTGAAAATTATTATCTGTGTGTATACAAATTCAGGTTTAATTTATAGCATCGATCATTCTTTAACTTAGGCTGCATAATCCCTAATAATTAATTGTAGTATATAATGTTCTCTTTGTAATTCTTGAGAAAATTCTAATTATGATTCATTTATCCTACACACCTCATCTTACTCTATTACTCCCTCCATCTCACAAAATTTTTCTCCTTTCTCTTTTTATCCGTCCCAAAAATTTTTTTCTTGCTTCTATTAAAAAGTCATTTTCATTCGTACTAATTTTTAATCTACCTATCACATCACACTTTTTCACTACTAATATACCCATCACATCTATTTTTAGCTACCACATCTAAGGATATTTTTGCAAAATCAACAACAAAATACACTCCTCTTAAGGCTCTGTTTCGTTCAACTTATTTTTTCTGATCTGATCTGATTTTTTGTATTTCTGATCTGGTCTGATCTGATCTGACTGAATCTGATCGAATCTGAATGGATCTGATCTAATTCAGTCTGATCTAACCTGATCTGGTCTGATCTGATATGATCTGATTAATTATGATTTGATTTAAAATTCAAATCAATAATTTGATTTGACTTTATAATAACATTTAAAAATTGTAATGATAATTCATATTATAATATAATTAATATTTTTTATTTTATTATTATTTTTAATAAAACAAAATTAGTTAATTCATATATTAGAAACAACCATTCATATTATAATGTAATAATAACTTTTATTTTATGATTATTGTTTTTGTGAAATAACAATATTGATTTAGTATTTTAATTATTCGTTCATATATATACATTAGAATAAATATTTATTTATATATAATTAAATTTAGATAATCAATATAGAGAAAAGATAGTATTTTTATTAAAATATTTCATCCTTATAAGAGATCAAAAGTTTAGAAACTCAAATTACATGTAGCAATAAAAATGTATTTTAAATGTAGAATTAGATTAACTTTGTCAATGTATTTTAAAAAAAAAAATTCCGAGGTCTAATAATTAAGGATTACTTCCTCAGTTTTCTATTTAACTTGTTTCCAAAGTTTATTCTTTTTCATTTTTAAGAAGAATAATAATAATAATAATAATTCTTGATGGGATCTGGTCTGGTCTGATCTGATTGGATCTGATCTAGTCTGGTTTGATCTGATTGGATCTAATCTGATCTGATCTTATTTTAATAAGAATAAGAAAAAATAAGTTGAACGGAACAGGGCCTAAATCCCTTAAAAATCAAAACAAGAAATAGTTTGTGGTACGCAGGGAGTATAAAGTAAGAGCGAAATTAGGAAATAACATCAAAGTTACTCATTTTAAGTGTGTGCCTTTTTTCAAAAGAACGGTTTTATGGAACGGAGAGAGTATTATGTTTATTTAATTTGAGATTAAAATTCAAAAAAAAAAAATCAAAGTAGATAAATACTCAAGAAGGGTGAGAGTATTACTTCTATCTCTCTACCTTCTTACGTTTGTAGAAAGCATGATTCTGGCGGGAGGAAATAAATAGGAGTAAAAAACTATAAAAATATCAAAATAGGAGTCATAAGTCTTTCAAGACCAAAGTAAGAGTTCACACTGCCATTGGTACACTACCACACTCACCACATTGTTATATTGTAACTGTCACATTATAAACGCCACACTGACATCCTTTGCCACCGGCCATCGGAGAACCGATGTAGATCGCCGACGGTTGACTTATCACACTGACATATTACATTTTCATCACTTTTCTATCATACTACCAATGCGTATTCTTACACCACACAGTCATTATACTCCTATTTTAGTCTTAAAAGACATGAGATTCCTATTTTGGTATTTTCAAACTTTTTTATTCCCATCTAGAGAAATTTTTTCTATTAAAATGGTGTCTGTATAACATCTTTTTCATTATCTTTTGTTATGTACACGTATATAATCCTTTAATTTTGTCGTGAGAAGGTTAGCACAATTTGTTTTTTTTTTGGTCAAATTGTTCAGCACACATTGATCATAAATTAAATATAATTATAAATAATTAAATATTACGGAGTATAAAAATTTGATATATCAATACGACATTTTAAAGTTAATCTTATTTTACTAAATTTATGTAGTAACTATATTCAGCTCCTTTCCTTATTAGTGAAACAATTGCTCTAAATATGAGTAACATAGAGAAAGTAACAAAATAAAAGTTTTATAATTTTATTCTAGGACATTTGATAATACTTTTTGGCATTGTATATTGGAATGATTGGCATTGTATATGCATTTTAATTCATGTTTTGAGAATAAAAATATTGAACTCCTATCTTGATATCTTTTTTATACTTTACTCTACTTTAGTTTTTTTCTATATTGTGGTCAATGTATTATACAGTTTGACAAAAAATTCAAACTATGATAATCTTTTTGAACATCGAAGAGAGTATTTCAAATATAAGTACTTTTTCATATATTGATGATACTTTATCCGTTCTAAAAATGTCATAGTTCACTATTTAAAAATTACGAGAACTTTTGTTTGTTTCTACGTTTTCATTGATTACTTTATAAAATAAAATATTTTTTATCTGTTATTTTGAAAAACTTTTGATGTTTTTTTAAACATATAAATTTATTTTTTCAATCTTTAAATAAAACAAATTAAAAAAGTACAAGTTTAAAATGCATCACGCGACAGTCTAAAAGTACATCATTCTCATATTCACACAATAAGGATATTCTTACCTAAACCAACCCACACATATCACTACAAGAAAAATGCTCTATAGTGTGAGTACAATCCGTAGTTAAAACACAAAAAACCGTCATTAAAACATTTTAATGAGAGAAAAATTACTCTCATCGACCGTCATTATGGCCTCCGTAGCTAATTACAAATAATGACGGGTTACAAGTCCTCTCATTAAAATTATTTAATGAGAGTATTTTTACTTTCATCAAAATGTTCTTTTTATGACTACAAATCCGTCATAAATACAACTAATTCTAGTAAGAATTACGGAGTATATGTTTTCGGATTAAATATACCTTCATTAATACATAATGTTATATATATATATATACTCCCTCCGTCCATAAATTATCTTCCCACTTTCCATTTTAGTCTGTTCACAAATTATCTTCCCGTTTCTATTTTTGGCAAGTTTTTGTATGTAAAATATCTTTTCTACCCTTTCAAATAAAATCCTCTCCTCACTTAATCCAAACCCCTTCACACCCCAATATCACTCATTCACCCTCGGCCATATATTCTCTCTCCTTCCACCACCGTATCTGCCCTCCTCAACTTGAACTTTTCTTCTTCTTCTTTTTCCTCAAAACTTTTTCAAATCTTCTTCTTCATCAAAACGTCTTCTTCTTCAAAACATTTCTGCATCAATTTTTCTTCTTCTTTTTCAAATCTTCTTCGAATAAAATTTTCTCGTTTGAACCTTCATCATCTTTGATTATTCTTTTTCTTCTAATCTTCCAGTCATTGAGTCTTCTTCTTCGTCAGATCTGAAGAAGTAAGTCTTTTTTACACCAGATCGCAAAGTTGTTTGCGTTTTGTCTCCCGCGAGGGTCAGTGGCCGGTCGATCTCCTTAGGAAGAAGACTAGGGAAAGGTCATGACCATCGATTTATGATTGCCGGTGTTGAGCTAAAGCAAGATGAACAACGAGATTTGGATTGGGAGGCTGGAATCCGGTCGTTGTAGGTGTTGAGCTAGTCCTTTGGGGTGGGATGAACAATGATTTCTACTGGTACTGTAGGTGAATTGGGTGGCGTGTTTATGGAGGAGTCAGGGAGGCTTGGTTAGTGAAGGAAGGAGGGAGGGGTATTTATGGAAAGTCAATCATATTTTCACTTTGCCTAAATGTGCGTGCCCGGTCAAACTGGGAAGTTCTTTTATGGACGGAGGGAGTATATATGTATGTGTGTGTGTGTATATATATATATATATATATATATACATATATATATAAAGAGAGAATATATATTTAAATAATATTTTATTAATATAAGAAAAGATAAATACAAGAGCATGCTGAGTAATGCCCACAGCAAAATTCAAGAAGCAAAATCCAAAAAAAAAATTAAGCATTAATATATATACTCCAAATATGTTGGTACAGAAAGACTAAAACATCACAACTCTACTGACACCTATATATAGAAGCTCAGGATCACAACCTAGTCCAACAGCATATATGAAATTAAAAAATTCACTCCAAAGGCTAAGTTCCAGGGCATCCTGCACCAACCACTGCCTGCAATAAGTATTATTCATCAGGACTTTTTATGATCTCCAGTTTGAAGAGCAACATTCTCTGGTGGGAGAGAACATAAGGGGTTGCTGCTGCGGCTGTGGATGCTGCATGTATTCTTAAAGTAGTCATATGATTCTTTTGCAGATTTCATTGCAAGACTTAAAGAAATAGCACACTTCATTACAAAACTTCAATGCAAATTTCTCCCTCTTACCATGGAGGCCAAGAATCCTTAGCTTCTGTGTCCGTTTTGAGGCTAGCTGGAAGAATAGAAAAAAACTAACCATATCATAAACTAATAAACTACTTGATAGGTTCACAAGTTAAGATTCAGGCTGGGTGAAGGATAGATCATAGTGAGTACCTCTTATCACGAACCACCCATCTCTGACCAACTCCAAGCCTGACCTCCATTCCATTCATTGAGCCAACACTGCCACTTTTATCATAATCTGTTGGCTTTTCCTTCAGCCAGTATGGCCTGAAACTATAATCAGAGTGTCGCGTCAGTATTTAAGCTTACTTGTTTCTTTCGTTCTTTAATTTCTTTCTATCATTTTTCCCCTTTGAGATCTTTAATGTGCACCTCGCTGGTGATTGGTGTGCCAGGACATATACTGAAAATTTAATGCCTTAAAATTTTGTGGTTCACCTAAAAATTACTTTGTGATATGTGGTTTTAGCACAGCAAACACACTTAAAATCACAAACAAAAACACACTTTAAAATCACCAACTTTGTGTAACGGACAAACATTTCAGAGCAAATGCACGTTCGTGCACGCAAAAAAAATACATCATACCTTAAGCATTCTTTACCTGTAGTTTGTGTGAGCACCGACACCATTCCAATCGCCCTGGCCACGAAGGTGAAAAAAACAAACAAGAATAATCAAAGGATGCAATCCTCGGAGTAAGAGTTATGTTACAGTCACACCATGGATGCCACAAGTTAAAATAGTGAAAAAAGATGTAATTATTTACCTCAAGAATATACCTAGCTACACACACCTCATCACCAGCTGAAATGCCAAGTGATGGGCACTTTTCTAGAGCATTAGAAAGCATTTTCAACAAAGTAACCACCTGATTTAAAAAAGATCTACACGATGCTGTGTGTGCCAACAAAGTAACCACCTTATTCAGACAAGCAAATAAATGAAGCGGTAGCCATGATGTGTAAAACTATAGGGGTGATCTGTGTTCTATTCCATGATCATTATTTGGAGTAGATTGCAGACAACAAATAGGCAAAACAGTTTTTTGAAGATGGATACACGATGCTGTGTGTGCCAACAAGTTCATGAAGACTTGGATGATATTTTGTGGAAGTGTTTCTTTGCTATACAGGTTTACAAGCTTCGCATTCTATTATCTTCACTGTATGATCACCACTGACATCATATATAACCAAAAATCTAAGGTCAATATGTAAAACTGTGTGAGTCCAAATTGTGTAAGTCACCACTGCCCTAATGTTTATGGTAGTGAGTCAAAAGGTTTTGAAAGAGGCCATGAGAGACAAGAACCCATAATTGCAAATTGAAAGGTTGATTATATTTTAAACCAAGACAAGCATAATATAAATATACACACATACCATTCTTACAATATGGGGTGAAAGGTGGGAACTTACTAAGTTGATGCAAGGGTTTTCCCGTCTGGGCTAAATGCTGCTGCAATGGTAGATCGAGGGGGAGGCAGAAGGGGACAATACTTTGCTAATAAATTCCGTAATAATTCTGCCTCTACCCTGCAATAGTGGAAATAATCTATATCAGTGGAAGGCCAGACTAGTCATACATACAACACGTATAACAGGAATTTAGTATGTATCAGTTACCATGATATAAGACCTTTTTTTCAGGAATGGCCACAAATGCTGCCACAGAATCAAACTTCAAACCCAATTGATGAACAAATTGCACCAAACTTTATAAACAGAATGGATTCAAACAAAAGCAAAGTCAAATATTATGGATCATTGAATCAGAAAGGCGATTAGATGCTCCAACCCTCATGAGGAAATTAACCAAAATCATATCATACTGGGTAAAAACTTAAACATTATAACCTGATTTGGGAAAGAAAATTACCTGGAATTGAGTAAGCGAAAGACACCGAAACGAGTGGCGGACGGAGCTCTTGTTCCTCGTCGAATCCCTAGAAATAGCAGGGAGAGGTCTCTGGTCGAATACTGCTGGTCGTCTAAAGTAGTGGCTGAGGGAGAGCTTGTACGCAGGCGGCAGCGCTAGGAATTTGCACGAGATTGTGAATCTGAGGAAAAAATTTCACCAAATTGGATTGCCGCTGTATTTTTTTAGGCGAAAATGGAGAAGGGAAGTTAGGCGGCAATCCCAATTGTGATTGCCGCTGTATTTTTCAAGGAATTATAACTATTTTTAAACAATTTCATTTTTTAATATATTTTAGTTTGGCCAATTTAGAAATATATAATGAGAGTATTAACTTTAAAACAAGAAAAATAAAAAAAATTGGTCACTAAAAGTAACACCTTTTAACTAGGGTTTTTTCCCCTCATTAAAAATGTACAAATAACACATTTAATAAGAGTATTATCAACCCGTCATTATTGATCCGTAACTAAAAGTCTTTTTTCTTGTATTGATATGTGTGTGTGTGTATGTTTTAGATTGAGTGAGAATGAAATCTAGTGGAAAAAAATAAGAATGCATGTGATGCATTAGAGAGTATATATATAATCTAAGGGTCATAAAAATAAAAAATATGCAAAATCCTAGAAAAATGTGGTGGCATTTCAGTAAATAAGTTGAACTTTTATGCCACTACAAAAAGTGCACTATGATGATGTAAATGTGCATCGTGATGGATGAAAAATGCATCCTTCTCATTTCTCTATCTAAGAGCGTTCTCACCCAATCCAAACAATACGCACACAGCCACGCACTGTCACATGTCATACTTAGCAACTTAGGCTTCGTTCCGTTCAACTTATTTTTTTGATCTGATCTTATTTTTTGTACTCCCTCCGTCCCCCAGTTTTTGTCCACTTTTGACTTTTGGAATTGTTCATCTAAGCACTTTGACTCATCAAATTCTCTCAATGTGTAAGCCTAAATATAGTCATGTGTGATCTTGTTTGATTTGTCTTAACATATAGATTATTAATATATAATTTCTATAATTTTTTAATATACAAAATACAAGATAAAATGGATTAAAGTAATGCATTGGATGGTGTGTAAAAATGAAAGTAGACAAATACTCTAGGACGGAAGTAGTAGTTCTGATCTGATCTGATCTAATGGGATCTGACCTGATTAGATCTGATATGATATGGCTCGATCTGATTGGATCTGATCTAGTCTGATCTGATCTGATTAATTATGATTTGATTTAAAATTCAAATCCATTATTTGATTTGACTTTATAATAACGTTTAAAAATTGTAATGATAATTCATATTATAATATAATCAATATTTTTAATTTATGATTATTTTTAATGAAATAAAATTAATCAATTCATATTTTTAGAATAATCATTCATATTATAATGTAATAATATTTTTAATTTTATGATTATTTTTTTTATGAAAGAAGAATATTGATTTAGTATTTTAATAATTAGTTCACATATACATTATAATAAATATTTAATTCATATATACATTAAAAAAGAATTAAATTTAGATAATCAATATAGAGAAGATATATTATTTTTATTAAAATATCTCATCCTTATAAAATATGAGTGTATGCTTTGTACTACGAATCTTTTTTTATGATTAATATAACACCATAGATATAATAGTTATTTCAGTTACACAAAATATACTTCGTATATGAATATCAAATGTAAATTTTATTTAAGTCATGATCAAAGTTGATCACCTCGATGTAGTAAAAGATCAAAATTTTAGAAACTCAAATTACAGGTAGCATTAAAAATGTATTTTAAAAGTAGAATTAGATTGACATTATCAATGTATTTTAAAAATAATTTTTCAGACGTCTAATAATTAAGGATTACTTTCTCTATTTTTTATTTAATTTTTTTCTAAAGTTTATTCTTTTTCATTTTTAATAATAATGACAACAACAACAACAACAACAACAATAATAATAATAATAATAATTCTTGATTGGATCTGATCTGATTGGATTTGATCTGATTGGATCTGATTTGATCTGATCTAATCTGATTGGATCTAATCTGATTTGATCTGATTTGATTTGATCTAATTTGATTAGATCTGATCTGATGTAATCTAGTCTGGTCGGATCTGATCTGATTTTAATAAGAATAATAATAAAATAGAAAAAATAAGTTGAAAAGAATGATGCCTTAATCACATCACCACATGACGTACTAGTAGATCAAAGACATTACCTTAGCATAAATTGTACCCGATTTACCAACAAGTTATGCTTAAATTCAACACCATAGGAAACACATATATACAACCTATGAGTATGGGTATCAATTGAAAAAATACACTACTAAAGTCACACTACCGCAAGCCATACAAAAATATAAAATGTAAAACATCACAAGTGCATAACATTATAAATAATGTTCATTTAATAAGTTAAAATATGTATGCCAGTATATATGAATATGGAAGAAAAACACAAATTTTAAATGTGATGCAATATACAAGCAAAAAAAGTGAATAAACTAGCATCATGAATTGCAACACACTGCCATTAAAAAGTATGTATTGGATGCATGAGCAAACAACATGCTATTCAAGACCATAATTCCAATAACAAACGAAAATGTCATAATAATAATTAAAATGCGAAATACATGACAGATTGAATAACGAAATCTGACATTGTAAAGGAGGAAAGAGAATATTTAGCTTTTATTAGCATTTATTTCCGTATATATTAGTTATGGTACTTGCCTTGTATAGAGATTCCTTTTCCTTTGTTAATTAGGACTCTTTGCTATATATACGGCTGGATTGTAAATTGTAAAACACAGAAAGGAATACAAAGATTTTGATTCCGAAACACATCTTTCATGGTATCAGAGCCAAAACTCTAGGAATTTCCGCATGATCGCCCGACATCGCGTCCATCGATCGTTGCCCGTTGTTGCTGCCGCGAAGACCGAAACGGTCGACCGTTTGTTCATAACGGTCAAAGACATCGACCGTCCCGACGGCAGAATCTCCAACCGCTGCTGTTTTTGATCCAATTCTTGAACTCTGTCATCTGGTATGTCTGAAGAAACGCCTATGAAGATCATTTCCGGTAAGAAGAATGAAGAACGAGAGGAGGAGGAGGTTGGGGTGCGACGTCGTCGTATCTCCCCTTACGATTTGTCTCCGAGCGACAATCCGGGTATGATCTTGACCCATGTCGTTCTAAAGGGAGATAATTATGATGAGTGGTCCAAATCTCTGCGCTTGGCTCTTTGAGCACGCAAGAAATTTGGATTTGTTGATGGAACAATTGAGATGCCAGATCCCGATTCAGAAGATTTTGACGATTGGTGGACAAACCATTCACTGTTGGTCTCTTGGATTCGGAACACGATTGATCCAACCTTGAGATCCAGCATATCTTTTATGGAAAAGGCTTCAGATCTGTGGAGCGAGTTGAAGGCTCGTTTCTCTGTGGTTAATGGACCAAGGGTTCAGCAGTTGAAGCGAGAATTGGCGGAATGCAAACAGAAGAATCTTTCTATAATGGAATATTATGGAAAGATTAAGAAGTTGTGGGATGATCTAGCATATTTAGAGCGGTTCCCGATCTGCACGTGTAGGAATTGCACGTGTGACTTGCAGGAGAAGCTCACGCAGATGCGTGAGAGGGAACGCTCCCATCAATTTTTGATGAGTCTGAACGATGCTTTGTATGGGACTTTGCGGTCAAATTTGTTGGCCCAGGAAATCATACCACCGGTGTCAAGAATATATAACATTCTTGTCCAAGATGAGACGGCACGACATGGCATGCACAAAGGAGAAAGCAGTGAAGCGGGTGCATCCGTGTTTGTCGTAAAGAACAAGATGGAGGTCAAAGAGCTCATGTGCTCACATTGTGGGAAAACAGGACATGATATTGAGGCGTGCTACAAGCTGATCGGGTACCTAGAGGGATGGGTGTACCGCGATCAGGCCGGAAGAGGAAACGGCCGGGGAAGGGGTCGTGGTGCTGCACGAGGTAGCGGACAGTCGACCGTGGCGGCTGGACGGTCGACCGTTACGGGCGGACGAGGGGAAGTCCATGCAGTTCAAGGAGAAGAGAAAGGACCATCCCCGCTCCCGAATTTTGAGGATCTGACACCTGAACAGTGGAACGCTGTTCGTCATGCACTCTCGCTCTCCTCTACAGATAACTCACAGAAACTCTCAGGTATCCCTATATCACCTCGTTGGATAATTGATACTGGTGCGTCCAATCATATGACAGGTGATCTTTCGTTATTATATGATGTTGTGGGAGTGTCTCCTTGTGAAATTGGATTGCCTGATGGGAAACGAGTTGTGTCTGTTCAATCTGGAAAGGTTGATTTGACTATGACTATGACTTTGCAGAATGTGTTGTTTGTTCCAACCTTGAATTGCCATTTAATTTCTGTGTCACAGTTGACAAGGGATATGAACTGTGAAGCAAAGTTTACCAATGATTTGTGCATCTTACAGGACCTAAGTTTGAGGACAACGATTGGTGTGGGTAGACATGAAGGAGGATT